CGAATAATGCGGCCAATACTTCCAGTTCCGAAAAAACACCCTTAAACAGAGCGTCTTAATTATTCACGGGAGAAAAAAGTTTACGTCGCAAAGAGCGAGCCTTAAGCTCAAGCAACACAATTTTTTTTTAAAACTGGGAGATCGAGATCAATTTACTTCAGGTAAATGAAGTGATCAAAGTAAAGGACATCACATGGTCACACAATGAAAAAGAAAACACTGAACCAAACTGAACCTATTACTTTGGATTAGACAGAAACAGTTTTCGCATTAAAACGAAACCAAAAAATTTTTTGAAGCTGATAAAGAGGATGGAAAAAAATAGAGAAAATGACTCAAAATGTACGAAAGAGCTTAAGAGCTTAAGAAATCAGCTTGATCGAATGCTTCTTCATGTGAACATCATTAAAATAAAACCAAAGGTAAGTGAAGAAGAAAATACGAATTGGTATCAGAAACGCACAGTGAGAGAAGGACACGAGATAAGCACGTTCGTTGATTGGGCCACATCACCTCCGTGCACCAAATTGTGATAGGGATTATCACGATAGTGATGCTCCAAATGTAGTAAATAGGTTAACAACGCTCCTGGTGGAATTTCGAATGTTTTCAGTAGACCTCGATTCTGCAATTTCACTTCAGTCATATAATCGATTTTTGCTTTCTTTGCAAATTTTTCTGTGCTCCATCTTCGAATTAAATTGATAAGTTAAAGTCAAATTTTCCACTCAGCTAAGTTGTCATTTACTCTAACAATAACAATGCTAACAATCTGAACAATTGAGGCTTGATGAAAATTTGCTGATAAGATCTCTATCGGGAACTGATAATTCGGTGAATAAGTGACGTTCCTGCTTAGCATCTACAGATGCAAGTAGCTAGCTCCCAATCAGAGGTAATTCTATGTCAAAACGAAAATCCACCACCTCAATATGAATTGAGAATTTGGGTTTTGCAGAAATTCGGTCGTATCTCTAGTATAAATTGCTGAATTGCTGATTGTGAATAAAATCGAATCTCTTGAAGTCAGTAAACTCCGGTAACAACAACTACATTCAATAGCACATTAATGTGCACCAATGAATTATCATTTCTATGAAATGATAATTTGAATTTTTAAAACATCTCTATTGAACAGAGAAACAAAAAACTTATTCCTAAAATCACCTTTATTATAGTGTAAGTAATTGCCGTAAGCGAGTGTCCTTTGCTGAGCTCTTGAATTTTAAAAACGTTCGGTCCCCATTCGTCTAACTGAAACTACGATGCCATATCATGATTTGTTATTGTTGATTCTGATTTTGAAACGTATTCAGGCATCGACACTGCCGGCAGTATCGTCTGGGAATTGAATCAGTTCAATTAACGTAATAAAGTCGAACTAATAGAAAACACCAAGTTTGGCTGCTGCACAAGCGATATCGCCTCATTTATAAAGACGATCGATAGAAACTTGTAAAAACTCGATTCCTTCAAAATTCTGTGAGATATTCAATAACTTCGAAGCAGTTTCAACTTCTGATCGTTCGTTTCAGATGGACAGAATTTCAGATGAATTTAGATAGATACCCTTTGCATATGAACGGCTAGTTCACGTTGGCCTTCCACGCCAAACTCGGGAATCTGCCCACCACACGCGGTCCGCAGCTTTCGCACACCGCTTATTCGTGACATTGCCGCAGTTTTTGCCTTACCCAATAAGCTCATCTGAGGCCCAGCATCAGCCGTCGAAGCGATCGTCGTTGCGCTCGTTGACGGTGTCGATGATTCGCTATGTGGTGCTGCCGCCTGTAAAATTTACTTGCACACTCTCAAGATATCATCCAGAAATATACCCCGAAAACCTCACCACCATCAATCCAACTATCTTCTAGTGAATTTTTGATAGCAACACCATCTCAACTGCTCAAATATTTGGTGCAGTCGTTGTATTACATGCGATAAAATA